AAAAAAAAGTACTACAAATCACAATAGCTAACAATTTAAAATATTTTTAAAATCATATAAAAAATTTAATAACTTTTCAAATTTCATAATATAACATAAATTAAAATAAAAAATATATATATATTGGGCCCCGTGCTGGCACGGGGTCCTATATCTAGTATATATTACAAGAATATGATAAGTGGATGAACTGAAAATGGAGCATCACCTCTAATGGTGGTGAAAGAAGGAAGACCAAAATAGTCATCTGTTAAGTTTAATAGAAATTTCCACTTCTATGGTTAGTTTTAGGTTAAGGACCAAAATAGTCATCTTTTTCTATAAATCAAGGACTATTTCAATAAGATGATATATATAAAAGACCAAAAATCTCCAACCCTCGTATATCAAGGACCATTTTGGTCGTTTTCTCCAATATCATTCACCGTATAATAATTCTTACAAATTTATTCACCGTATTACATTATAATCATTGCATAACTAATACATGAATCAAACAACCATGACCACCAATCTAAGCAAAATGCAATATGAATATCACAAACCAAGATAAGGTGATAAAATAGAGTAAGAATTTCAACAATTATACAATGGAGGATATCTCTTAGAAAGTAGTCTTTTATTTCTGACCACTGAATCCCAGAATCCAATATACAAATACAAAAGCTATTAAACATTCCTCAAGCAAGACATCTTGATTCTGCATATCTCAATTTCCTCTTCGAAATTTGCCTTTTACAAGATATGCAAGAGAATTCCATTCTGATCAAAAGTATACAGCATATTATATTACTGTTATAAACACTCTCATTCGAAAGACAAAAATGTTCTAATTCTCAGCAAGATCACACGCGATCGCCCACATTTGACTCAAGAATAAACAACAAACATATCCAGAATAGAAAAGTGACCACTGATCTTGCAATTTAGCTAAGATAAGGTACTCTTATCTTTTTATCATTTGGAACATTTCATTATCATCAAAAGAAAAGAGATAAAAAGAAGGAAATCATCTGATTATTACATTTGTGGCAAAAATTTCTCTGTTGATTCAACTACTATAGACCTTTTCAACAACATATACTTGTCTAAATTCTCTTTTAATTTGTGGCATATACAAATATTCCATCCTTAGTGTATTTCTCAAGCTTTTACTAGCATACGTTCAACACTCAGCTCCTATGATTTTCTCTTTGACGAGAGAGACGTGTCATATTTGTTTCATCTTGACTATTAAACATACTTCCTACCAGATAACTTTAACCTTAGATATACAGTGTAATTTTTCGCAGATGGGAAGCTATGTGGCTCTTCCCCTGGATACACCCATGTAGAAGGTATTCTAAATAAAAGGCAGGATTCTTAAACATCAGATACTTTGTTGTATAACAGCATAGATTCCTATTGTAGTTCTTTTACTAGAATATAAACTGCGAGATTTTCGACAAATGGTGTCCCTCCAGGCTCCACCTCATCCAAGTGGTCAGGTAGTATCTGAAATGAAAAAAGGTGTCAAAGCAAGTGGTCTAAAAGGTTTCCCTCTTATGGTAACTTTCAGAGGCTTTCCTAACTAGAACTCCTTTTTTAATGACCGTGGTGTTCAAGTTAACTTTTGCTCAACTAGTTCCACGGGATACCTATCACCTCCCATCAGCAATAGGTACCAGGTAACTCTATCGACCAAGTCTAGGACAACTCTTCATGCTGAATAAACTATAACTCGTCCATCTGGAGTCTAGACAAATAGATGGTTGATACTAGTTTCGAAAAGAGCTTTAGAGTCAAAGAGAAGTCACTTTCATGCTAGTTGATTTCATTAGTTACAACAAATAACAACACTGCAATTATAGTATAGGAGTACAAGAGAAAATAAGTAGATAAAAAAACATATAAGTTAGCTAGTGAAGAGGGTACCTATATATGTTTTACACCATGATAAACCTCATGGTACCTACACTTTATCTTAAAAAACAAAAGCAGGGGAAATTCTGAAAGACGTGGTAATAGAAGTAAGCACAGGGTGACTCCATTTGTAGAGAATTGTTTCGATACAGCTATAGGCAACCTAATAGTTATAACCATCCAAATGTAAGTCGATAAAACTTAAAAGAACAATCAAAATTGAGCTAATGAATAATATTAAGTACTTGGTCTTTTCACTTTGTTCATAATTCGTTATCATCAAAACATACAGATCAGCAATGCTGAGATCAATGCACAGATTGTCAATAAGATTGCACATATCTTGATAATTGTTTTTTGGCCTAAAATACTATAGCGTTGGCGCGTCTATATTAGCCATGTTAGGTATATAGCAAGAGTTAATGGGAAATACAGGGAAGATGAAAAGAGAGGAACTTGAAAAGTCCTCTTATGCTTTATTAAAAAGGCATTTCTCCCTCATCGGTGATGAAAAGAAAAAAATAGAAGAGTTTAAATAGAGAAACACTTCTATTAATTGTTAAAAGGGTTGCAAAGAGGGACCCCTCGCGCCGTCGTCGCTCATTCGGCTTCGGCTTTGGAAATTGATCGAGAGATTATTTTTGGACAAAGTTTGTTTTAATTATTTAGTTAATTAATTAAAATAAATTAAATGGCCAAAACATTTCAATTAATTAGTTAATTAACTGAAACGTTCCGACCCGACTCGGATCCGCGCGACCCGTTTTATTTAAACTTTCCCGTTTTATTTGAATTTTCCGCCGTTGACTGTCCTGAAAGGTTGCAACTTTCAGGAACAACCATGACCGTTTGAAAGGTTGCAAACTTTCAAGAATGGTCGTGTGGATTCTGAAAGGTTGCAACCTTTCGTAACCAGTTCTTCTTGGCTATAAATACCACTGATTCTTCAGACTTTTTCCTAACGAATTTTTCTGATTTCTTCTTCTTCTGCACAAAGTTTCTTCGTGTACTTTACTGCCGTTGAGTGGCTCGCTGACACCAACGTTTTGTGTATCAATATACTGGTGATTGAGATCATTCTATCTTGGGAGGACATATTCCAAATCAAATCTCGGATACTAGAGGGGAATAATTTCCTTAAGGGGACACTGTGCATTCAGTGGGTTTGATCTTTTTCCGTTCTATTTTTCCAGATTCTTGTATGTTTTACAGATTTTAGTTTTTTTGTGAATTAATTGTTGTTCTTCTGTTTCATCACAGGTTCATTGGAAACTTTGGTAACTTCGTGTTTCTGCAAAGTTTTTGGTAAACAGTGCTACTGTTTTAAACACAGATCGACAACAAGCCATAAAATTGGAATTAGGGGATCTAATCTCTTCCAGCAGGGTGAATTTCCTATCTGATATATCCACTTGCTGATGATAATACTTTTCAACAAAAAGTCTGGTCACAAAAATACTATTTTCTTATTCTCCCTCCACCTATTCCCATTAGCATTACTTGAAGAATCATGTATTGTACCTCTCCTAAAAGAAAAATATTCGCCAACTTGCTACAACTCAACGCCTTCTTCTCCAACTTATAAGGAGCTAACTTAGCATTATGTTCCCCATACAATTCACTTGAGCTAGCACTCGGCTTTAGGTGAAGTAGCTCTGCACTTCTCCCCAGAGCTACTTCTCGTTTAACTTGTAATTCTTCAATGGCCTCGTGGACTTCAAGGCAAAACAAGAAGTTCGAAGAGGCTTTGGCTTTATATGACAGAGACACACCTGATCGTTGGCATAACATTGCAAGGTGTGTAGGTGGAAAATCAGCAGCAGAAGTGAAGAGGCATTATGGAGTGCTTGTGAAGGATATCATGCAAATAGAAAATGGTCAAGTACCTTTACCAAATTACAAAGCCGCGGCTGAAACCAATAGCAGATCAGGTTATGCCAATGAACATAGGTATCACAAATCAAAACTAATCTTTATTAATTAATCCATATACAAGTCAATGATACGTTTTGTATCGATTCCCATATGTTCATGTCATTTTCCTATTCTTGGTACTGTTTATGTTTATTATACCATCTATCCATTTTTAGTAACTTTACGCCAAAGACTAGTCACACTCCTTGTTGACACTTATATTCTAAAGAATCAATGCTTAAAGTTTCAACTTTCTGCAAGAGGATAATATTAGAAATGTCTGTCTATTTATCTCTTTAAGCTTCTGAATAATGAATCTAGTCCTACTTGTTTTAGATAATACGCGGAAATCCTGCACCTTCATCCCCTACCACCACGAATCCACGATTGTTTAACAATTGTTTCTTGTTCCTCGATGAAAGAAAATGTATTAGTTACTCAAACAAATAAATAATGCTTATCGATCTCCTCATCTTATATCAGTTCTTTACATGTCTATATTTTGTTGAACAGGCTTCTGAAGAACCTGAAGTTACAGTGAGAACAAATTTCGCGGCCATGCTGAATAACATCACAAATTCTCTGCTATATTGCAAATGCAAAAGCATAAATTGTGAATTCATGTCTAAGTTTTTGAAGTAAGCAAAATGTATGACTATACTATTGTTCATCTGTATCCACTTAACTTCTGTCTTACTGTGTAATGTTTATCAAACGCGTAATATATCTACTTCACTTCCATGTTAGTGTAACATGTTTGATAAAATAAAACCAAAATTACACGCTTTATAGTCTGAATTCAACGGATCACAATTCTCAATTCATTTGTTCTTTTTTAGATACAATTCTTGCAAGTTGTGGATAACTTGCAGAATTCAATTTAAACTTTTAGATGAGATTGTCACACTGTTCAGTATCACAACATGTAGAGGTCCTTAATCAAATCTCACACCGTACACGAGTTCATTCGTGATTCCTTAAGTTACTATCAGAGATTTCATCTGTGATTATTACGCCTTAAGTTACTATCAGAGATTTTTAAGTTACTATACACGAGTTCATCCGTGATTCCTTAAGTTACTATCAGAGATTTCATCCGTGATTCCTTAAATTACTATCAGAGATTACGAGTTCGAGCTATGGGAATCCACATCTAATATAAAATATAATTTCCTTAAAGTTACTATCAAGAGGATTTCATCCGGTGATTCCTTAAACTTACTATCAGAGATTACGAGTTCGAGCTATGGGAATCCACATCTAATATAAAATATAAAATATAAAAGTAGGAACATAAAAATGGAGATGCGGGGTATCGATCCCCGTACCTCTCGCATGCTAAGCGAGCGCTCTACCATCTGAGCTACATCCCCTTTGATATGCTGTTCACCTTAAATTTGATTAATAAATATCTAGCAAAACAGAAATACATGAACGTGGTGTTGTATAAAGAAGGAAAATTTAGCAATTTATTTTAATGAATCAAACCCACCAAAAATGCTTAAAGGTTGTTTTGGTTTAAAAACACTTAAAACTAAATCAATTCAAACAGGTATGCATCATATTTCGCTTTAAAAAACTGTATACATATTTTTATATCATAGGATTAATCATAAATTTAATTTTGCTAGACATGCATACATCATATTGTGCTAAAAATAAATTCCTTTCTCTCTCACACACACAAAAAAACACATACAATCCATAAGTTTACAAGAAACACCTATACATGTAGGAAAATATTATTGCCATTGAATATCGAAGGGCAAAAAAAATGCTATTTTCTCTTATAATACATTGTTAGGTAACTAACTAAAATCAAATTCCCCTCAACTTTTTTTCAAGGGGAGGAGAGAAAGAATGCATATATGAAACTGTCTGTCAAAGGTTCGAGAATCTATGAAAGGCCGATACCTTTCTTACAGGCAAACAAATCAACAGACGAAAATAAAAAAGGAAAAATCTTGAACACCCAACACACCTCCTCTTCCTCTTCGTCTTCTTCGTATGACCAAATTTGTACCAATTCTTGAGTCTCAAAACTATAAGCAACAATTGTATGTGGCAAAACATGTAGATATAATACCTGCAAATCCTTATTGAATGCACATGGCTTCACTGAATACCCTGTTTTAAACCTCAAATCTTCATCATCATTTATACTCACCAATCTTACAAAATGATCAAACTTGAATTCACTTCCTCTGAAACTCCATATGAAAACTCCACTGTTAACTGGATCACAAAATTGTATTACTCCGCCTTCCGATGATTCGTATAAAAACTGAGAGTAGTAAACATCTTTTCTTGATCTTATGGAATTGTTTTTCGGCAGTGAAAAAAGTGTAAATACTTCGAAATCTATGTCGTATACTAACAAACATAAACTCCATATCCAGTACAATTTTCTTTTCTCGCGAGAAAAAACACTCGAATTAAAGCATTGCCCTCGAATAAATCCATCTGATTGAAGGAGCTGGGAATTCAAAATTTGAATTTGGGTTTCCCGCCACTTCCATGAATTCGATTCGAAGATCATACAATTCATCATATGGGTATCGAAATCAACTTCTTCCCAGAAGAAAGAGATAACTTGAAACAAATTCGATTCAAAAACAAGACTTGAACAAGTGGGTCTTGAAATATGATGAGAAATTGGTAGAGAAATTAACTGGTCAAGAACAGGGGATGAAACAGAGTATGTCCAGAACCCATTGTTGTTGTTGTTTTCTGAAGCGTAAAGAAGAACCCCATTACAAGAATCGATCAAATAAGGGAATTTATGAGTGGAAGATGAATGGAAAGTACAAAATTTGGGGAAATTTTTCTGGGTTTGATCGTGTAACTTCATAAAAACTGATTCTTGATAAGTTTTGTGTTTTAGGAAGAGGACGAAACCAGTTGAAGTTGTGTGAGGGTAACAATGGCGGATATTGGTAATCGAATTTCGCCATGTTTTCGAAACAGTCTTCAATTGGATGAGAGATTTTAAGGGAATTTTAGTGAAAATTGATTCAACTATATGATTTGATAAATTCCCAAGCTCTATCATCTCTTCTTCTTCTTCTTGCTCTGTTTCCATGGCAATCGCCATTGCTAATCTCCTCTGTTTTTTGTTGTTAAATTTCATATGTAATTAATTATACTTAAAAGGTATTTATAGAAACCCTAATATACTAGTTATGGCGGTTAATTATCAGTTACAGTTGATTTTTTGTGTCTGGTAATTAATTATACTTTGTGTGCAAGAATCTAAGCAATAAAATGCTTGATGACCAAGCATTAAATTTCTATAGTTAAACGAGTTTTTTTTTTTTGGCTATTTATTTTCAAATATTTTTGACAGTTTATTTTTTGATAAAGTTTTACCACGTGTTTGACAATAGAGTTTTGGAGAAATATGTGACTTAGGTCGCAGGTTCAAGCCCCACACCATGCAAAGCGAAGCCCGGTATTTAAGTGGAGAAGGGTAGAGGGGCGGGCCCATTATCCACCGAGTTTAGAAGGCTGTGATTGGTCCAAAGGGCGGGTCACAGACGGATTTCTCGGTTGTAAAAAAAAATAAAAAAATATGTGACTTTAAAAAAATTTGATTTATACAGATAAATTCTAAAAACTATTTGAAATACTCGTACGTTTGTATTATCATTTTATAAGGAAAATGTTCCGTGAAAAGTCATTACAAGAACATAATTAATATGAATTTTAAAAAAGAGAAAGTAAACAAAGAAAAATGCCATTGATTTGTATACGAAAAACTATTATTATATATTACTTGTAATTCGGAAAGCAAATTTGGTTAAAAAATGCATAAAATATGTATATTACGGTATAAAAATAAATTGTGTGCAACAAATTAATAATGAAATTTAGTCCAAAACTAATAAAAGGTGAGTATTTGATTTTAAGCTACTAGTAATAGTGTGATTATTTATGAGAGATATTATTTTATGCATGTATTAGTTATATAAAGTTTGGTTGTTTATGTACTCCTATTAGTTGTTCTATCTTTTATATCCTGCATAAAATAATACAAATTTTTTCGTAACTTTCACATGCAATAGTTATGCGAATTTTTAAATTGTCAATCAAACGTCTTATTAATCTTATATATGAATAACGTATTTCCTCTACACCTACCAAACGTCAATATCGTCTAAGTTATATGAATACTAATACAAAAAGTAATACAAAAATTGCTTATTTCTTATCTGCTATCAAACAACTTCTAATTTCACAAGTAAAATATGAGAAGGATGCTGTGTATGTAAATCTTATTCCAACTTTATAAGCATAGAGAAGTTATTTTTAATAGACTCTGACACAAATAAAACAATTCAAAGTAAAGAAAAAAATTGATATAATGTTGCTCTCAATTAAATTAGATGTCATAATTTTGACCTTTCACAAAAATAGAAAAAATAAATAAAATTGTCATATTTGTTGAAGTAACATGTGTGCCCATATGTGGTCCTGTTATTATTAGAAAGTAGGTAAAAGAAGTATGAAAAATATTAAAATTGGATCTCATGATAATAATAAGTGAACATAATTTTGTCACAGATTAAGAAAAGCATCCCCAATTAAGGATGTTAATAGAATATTTATTTATGCCATAAGAAGCAAGAATAGTATAATTGCATGTGTGTTTTTTTATTACATGTTTGCAAGACTCAAATTGTATGTTTATTAGTCGGTGCTTACCTTAAATTAATAAATGCATATATTATTTGCACATCAACTTTTTCTATTTAATTATAGTTGACTAATATGTACTTTTATATTCTAAATCTACCTAATCATGATAAGACAATTCTCCCTCGTTAACTTTTTGTTTGTTTTATGTTATAAATTTTAGTGATTCAAATCTTAATTATAAGTGTGTATTCGTTATATATATTAATTTTATAACCACTTAACGATTTTAAATAGATTGAATAATTAAAATATATGAATCTACTTTTATCGTTAACGGATGATATTATCGTCATCCACCATTAGCAATTACAATCACATGCGACTGATATCTTTAGTTACAGTTATCATCGCCGCTAATCATCAAAGTTAGTTATTACTATCATTAGTCACCATTCACAATTATCATTATCAATCATCCATTATTACAAATAGTCATCACAAATCAGTTGCTTCTATTTTATATTGTCAATGACTGTCATCATTCACAACCATCATTAATTATAAGGGCTCGTTTGGTGTGAGGGATTAAAAATAATAGTGATGGGATAAAAAAAATTATGTTGTTTGGTTGCCATGCTTGGAATAACTTATCCCATATACATGGTGGGATAAGTTATCCCAGGATAGCTAACCTCAGGATAACTTATCATGGGATAACTTGTTTCTAACCAAACGATCCCTAACAATCGTTCATCATAATTATTAGTTATCACCTCTAGCTTCAACTATTAATAACCATTGTAAATTATTATTGTCAGTTATCATCACGACTAGCTATTACCCGGAATTACCATAATCATCATTAATGGCACGAAAACTACAACACAGTAAATAACCACCATCACCTTCGACTATCATAAAACTTTTAATAAAAAATTATTATTATAGCATATAAATTTTTTTATAAAAAATAATAATTTTACCGTTGCTTTGATATTTCATCAAAAACATACAAAAACTTTTAATGGATGCATTTCCCAAGTTATCATATAAATTGATAATGACCACAAGTAGCCTTCTGATTCCTCCTATGGTCCATTATCTTCATGTTTCAACATTTATAGCATCTGCTTCTGGCTAGCTTATCTAAACAAAATTAC